TGCAAAGTACTCTCATATCATATAATTATATGGAAAAGATGATATAAATCATTAAAAATATAACATACCCTTATAAGTTTAATGAGAATTGGATAAGGCTGTAGCATGCTTATTATACTATCTAGTGCTATTGCAAACATATAATGAATTTTGAGATGTATTGAGATATTCTTATGCTTAGCGCACTACAGTTTTTGGCTGACCAGCCATATAATTTACATTTACAGTTATGACTTTTGAGCCTAAAATTTTCGGCACTTATACCCTATAGTTATAGATATAATTTCCGTATAGGGTCTTTAATTCTACTAGTATTTATTAGGCTAAACATATGCTAAATATAACTAAATATATGTTATTATGTGAATTTAATATGTTTGAACTGAAAAGAGTTGTATTATATATAGAAACGTGTATGTTTATGTGCATAGAACTTCTTGAGAACGTAATGATCATGAATTGATTAATAGCATGAGATTATGAATGGATGCGAGTGCTGTACAAGAAAGTTTGAACACATCATTGATGAGCATGTACATCCATGTGATGTGATAGAAGTTATGCTTATATACATTTAAAAAGAAAAAAAGAAAAAGAATCGCAATAAAGTTGCTTTGAATAAATTTTGTCGCTTGCATTGTGATTGATTAAAGTTATATAAAGCTAATAAAGTGAAGAATACAATATATGCTTTACTTGGTAGTAACTATGCACGATGCACAAAACACATGGAGAGACTTACTCTTACATGTCAGTTCACTAAAATGTTTTTTTTTTCAACTTATCAATCAATTTAAAATAATTAATTAATTATTTAGTAAAATTATTTTAAAAAAATTAAATTTTTATATTATGAATTGGGATGAACATGAGATTGATTCAACAATCAGTACAAATCAGATATTTTTTCAAAGAAAATTAGATCGAATCGAGCTGTTTATAGAATTAAATTAAACTAAATTAGTTTCATTGAGTTAATTTTTTTTTTTTAAATTTTCACTTAATTTTTAGATTTAATCACTTTAGTTTTTAGGCATTATAATGAAAAACAAACCAAATAAAAAAAATTCAATTTTTTTCATCAAAATCAAACCAAATCAAATAAATAAGTTCAATCTGATCGGTTTTACAGTATTATATTTTACAAGACAAACATATAATCACCATATTACATAGCCTAATAGCTTTGGTGCTTGTTAATGAATTTAATTTTTTATACTAAAATTGTGATTTTTAATAGGATTTAGTTATTTGTATTTTAGATTACATTACACTTTAATTTTTCAGAATTTAAAAATTAATTGCATTATAACTTTTGGTTATATTGTAAAATAATTTAATATCCCATTTAATATAATTTAGTTATTGAATTTTAAATTATATCATACTATAATATAATCCGTATGCAAAATGCAAAATGGTTAGACAAGTTGTGAGTTTGAATATTAATCGCTCCATTTGTTTGAAAAAAAAAAAAAAAAAAAAAATATAATTTAGTTAAATTGAAATTTTAAATTATATCATACTATGAATATAATCGGTTATGCCAAAATGGACAAAATGGCTTAGACAAAGTTGTGAGTTTGAATATTAATCGCTCCATTTGTTGAAAAAAAAAAAAAAAAAAAAATTATCTTTATAATACATCCTCAAAGAAAAATGTTTTTTTTAAAAAAATATTTTCAAATAATTTCATTTTGTGTCGTAAGATTACAAAAAAAAAAAAAAAAAAAAAAAATTATCTTTAAAATACATTCTCAAAGAAAAATGTTTTTTTTAAAAAATATTTTTCAAATAATTCATTTTGTGTCGTAAGATTACAATATTGAAAACTAGTTAATTAAAAAAATTATAACTTTTAACTTATGAAAGCATAAAAATATTTATAATAATGAAAATTTCGTATTTTAAAATTTATTATTAAATATGAAAAATGCATAAGAAATGATAAATTGTGATAGTTGCCGGTGACCAATGGTAATGGTCGACGATGGCCGATGGTTGGTAATGGTGACTATTGTGATTAATAAATAATTAAATGTGTATTTATAAAGTTAATCAATTTACTAATATCCAAAAAATGATTTCTCAGGTTTTCCTCTTTTGAAAAGAGGAAATTATTTTTTTCAAAATAACTTAATTTTTCTTAAATCAGAAAAATTTTTTCCGTTAACTAATTTTCTTGAATACTTCAAACATTAGAAATTTGAAAAAAATACTTGTCTGACAAATTAATTTTCAGAAATAAACATAATCTTTTTTTTTTTTAAAAGAATGGAATAAAATTACATTTTTTTTAGTACTAAGAAAGAAAATCGAACTTGTATCTATTATAAATTGTATATGCATCTTATCACTGTGCTGTGCCTTAGTATGCAAATAAAAGAATTGGAATAAAGTTGCATTTGAATCAAGTTCTTTGCTTGCACTGTTATTAATTAAAATCATATAAAGCTAGTAAAGTGAAATGTACTTTACTTTATCGATTAGTACCATTTAAGGGTTAATTTCACCGGCGACTTCTCAATTTAGGACATCCGCATTTAATTGTGTTTATACTTTAATTTATAACTTAAAAATGTTTCAATTTTAATTTTGTAATAATGAAAGTACTTTTAGCCGTTTTAATTAAGTTTCCGGCACCGAATTGCCAAGTGGCATATAAAAAATTAAAACACTATCTAGGTGTTATATTATATATATTTTTTAAAATACTTTTAAATAATAAAAAATAAACTATCTTTAATAAATAGTTTGCTTTTTTTTCTTTTTTTATTCCTAAACAATTGTATATTAGGCATCTTTAATGATTAATTGTTGACTTTTATTTTTTGGATTGTTGTTTTTATTTTTTTTTCCACAAATAATTTTAACTTATTCTTATGAATTGGTGAAAGAAAAATTGGATTTGTTTAGATTTTAAATATGTTTTAATGAATTTATTGGTAGAAATGCATTTTCTGTTTATGTTTGTGTTGTTTTATATGTGCAGATTCATTTTAAAGATTTGTAACGTTCACCATTGGATCTTTTCATGCCTATTGATTTATCAGCTTAACCATTTCGAGCGGTTTTGAACTTACTGATGATCCTTTTTTTTGTCTTCATTTAACAGTTTGATCATAGTGGTTTATTTTTGATAAAATTCCAACGAAATCCATGTTGCAGGCTTAAGGTGTCAACTACCAAACTAAAGAGTTTCTTTAATATAAAAAGTTAATTAATTGATTTGGTTTAATTTTTTTATTACTTAAAAGTATTTTTTAAAATAAAAAAAATAATATGCCATCTAGACAATGTTTTAATTTTTTATATGCCACCTGTCATATCATTTTCGGTGTTGGAAAATTAATTAAAATGGTGAAAGGTATTTTCAGTGTTATAAAATTAAAATTTAAGTATTTTTAAGCTATAAATTGAAGTGTAGGCACAATTAAGTGTGGAAACCTAAGTCGAAATACCATCAATGAAATTAACACTACCATCTTAGACACTACCTCATCGTAATATACCACTCTAGGGCATTTTATATTACATAGACTCAAAATTTTTTTTGGTCGATTTATAAATCAAATTAATGAAAATAGAGATTTATAAAAGTTATTAAAAATTTTTTTAGAAAATTAATTTTCATTAGTTTCACTCATAATTAGAGTCATAAATCAGGTATAGACAAATTATTTTCACTGTGGATAGAACTTACTTAGATTCGAATTCATAAACTAAACTAATAAAAATAGAGATTTATAAAGTCGTCCTCATTTTACTCTTTTTTTTTTCTAATGAATGGTAGAAAGTTATAAAACAAAATCATTTTTCATTAGTTCATCCATAAATAGAGTCATAAACGGAGTCCAGCAAATCATTCTCATGGTAAAACTTACCTAGACTCAAACCCATAGACCAAACTAATGAAAACAGAGACCTTATAAATGTTGTTTGCATTTTATCAATTTTTTCTTCTCAGTAAATGATAGAAAATACTCTCAGTTCAAAAAATTTATTTTTTATTGATTTGGTCCGTGGCAAGTCATTCTTTATAACCATTTATGCACCAATTGCATGCTGAGACACAATATAACTTGAGATTTATTTACTTAGACCAGTCTGTGATACCACTCATGGACTAAATCAATTAAAAATAATTTTTTTATTAAAACAAAAGTATTTCTAACCATTTTCACTAAACAAAAAGAATAAAATAGAAATAATTTTGAAAAAAAAAAATCTATTTTAATTGGTTTGGTCCATGACTAGACTCATACAATGAATCTAGATGAGTCTACTACAACTTTGGAGCAAAATGAAAAAATGCATTAGAGTATGGCCTCGTTCATAGGCCAAACTAATAAAAATATGAATTTTTAAAAATTAATCTTTTTTTTTCTAATGTATTACTTATTAGAAATACCAAAAAATCATGTTTCGTTAATTTGATCAAATCGTGGACTATAAATTAAATCTAAACAAGTTAATTCCATGAAAAATATGCATGCTAAATCATTTTTTTCTATTAAAACTGAAAGCAAGCTACATCTTTTACAAATCAGACCAAATCCAACTGATCAATTCAATTTCAATCAGTTTTAGTTATTACAAATCGATTAGTTTTGTATTCTAAAATTGTGAACTTTACAACACAAGTGAGTCATTAATATTAGAACTACATTGCACTTTAATAAAAGTAAAAGCAAAAGCAGAAGTACAGAAGAGAAAAAGAAAAAAAAAAAAAAAAAAAAAAAAAAAACGAGAAAAAGAAAAAAAAAAAAAAAAAAAAAAAAAAAAAGCTAGAAGCTGGACTTCCCCCTCATCGCAAACACATTATCAAACAGTATATAAGCAACAGCAAAAAAAAAAAAAAAAAAAAAAAAAAAAAAAAAAAGCTAGAAGCTGGACTTCCCCTCATCGCCAAACACATATCAAACATGTATATAAGCAACAGCAACAACAAGATCAGAGAAAACAAAACCAATCGGGAAAAATAATACTTGGCTTAAAACATGGCTAATTCTTTTCTAGAAAGCTTAGAGACAATATGGGATGAGTGGAATATAAGAGCAGGTATTATATTCAGTCTGCTGTTGCAAATCTTTCTCATACTATTTGCTCCTTTTAGAAAACGGTCTTCATCAAAGCTTGTGATCATGCTAATATGGTCTGCTTATTTACTCGCGGATGCAACCGCCAATCTCACCATAGGGTTAATCTCCCACAGACAAATCAACTCACAAAAGAGTGATCTCGTAGCTTTCTGGGGTCCGTTCCTTTTACTTCATCTTGGAGGGCCAGACACCATAACTGCATTCTCTCTAGAAGATAACGAGTTTTGGCTCAGACATTTGCTTCATTTCATTGTCCAAGCTTTTGCCACAGGTTATGTGTTTCTCCAAACATTTCCAGAAAATAAGGTAATGATTCCAACACTTCTGCTGTTTGTTGCTGGGAGTATTAAATATTTGGAACGCACTCGTTCTTTGTATCTTTCCAGTATGAACACATGGCGAAGCTCTGTGTGGCAATCTGATTATCATTGGTGGTATTATAAACATACTATAAGACAAAATATGTTAAAAGAGGTGCAAATGGCTTATCGTTTGTTTCTAGATTTGAAGTCAACAATTGTTGATTTGCCATTTTGTCACAGTCTGCAACAAGTGATCCCAGAGTACTTCAATAGACTATCTAAAAGAAATGCTTTAAGGGTAATGGAGATTGAACTAAATTTCTTTTATGAAGCTTTGTTTACTAAGGCAGTTGTTATCCATTCTAAATGGGGACGTTTTTTCCGTTTTATTTCCTTTGCTTCAGTTGTTTCCGCTCTTGCAATATTTCATTTTTCTGTTAATAAGAATGATTTCAATAATACTCTTGATGTTGATTTAACATACCTTTTGCTATTTGGTGCTATTGGTTTGGATTTAAAAGCAGTCTTCATGGCCATTTTCTCTGATTGGACTGCGGCTCATCTGAAAAGATCAGATACTTTACGTGAATCCGATGCAAATTATCTCACTGGTTTATTCAATGCTTTGACAGTGAAAATTTTCTTCAAATATCTCACTATCAGGAGGGTTTTTTCTCGCCGGTGGTCTAACCGGATTTCCGGCAATAATTTGATTAGATATTGCCTGAAAGGGAGTCCAACAAGAATCCATGTTAGCAATAAGCGTCGCCCATATGATGATCTTATGCAGATAAACACAATATTTCAGTTTTCTTTCATTGATAAAGTGATATATTTCATTGGCCTTAAAGACTTGGTAGATGAGATGATATATGTTTCGAGTGAGCCATTGACTAAGGAGCTCTGGGAATTCATTTATGATGACGTGAAAAGGAAATTGGTTTCCTCCTGTTATCCGGAGAGTGTAAAGGAGATATGTTCGTGTAGAGGAGAATGGATTCTCCGTCATCAACATGGCTTAATGCCTTACATTAAAGATGTTTCTTTCGATCAAAGCATTTTGTTATGGCATATTGCTACAGAGATCTTGTACAATACCGACGAAGAGAATTCAAATCCAAGTACATATGGGAACAGAGAATTTAGTAAGATCTTGTCTGATTATTTATTCTACCTTTTGACCATTCAACCAAATTTGATAGCCGTCGCAATGGGTGTTAGGAAAATAAGAATCAAGAAAGTTTATGTTGAGGTTGAAAGGTTATTTAAAGCCAGAAAGTTGAGATGGAATGAATTAAAGAAAGCTTGTCAAAGCATTCTTGATATGGAGGATAATACAATTATGGATCTAACATCTATTGCATCGGATTGGGCTGAGGGACGTTCCTACCGGTATTTAGTACCTTATGCAAGCATTTTGGCTAAAGAGCTTAAGAAATTGGAGGAGGAGCAGCACGATAAATGGCAGATAATGAGTAAGGTGTGGATAGAAATGTTGTGTTATGGTGTTTGTCATTGTAGACCATATAACCTTGTACAGCAATTAACCAAAGGTGGAGAGTTTTTTACTTTTGTTTGGTTATTGTTAACTCACTTTGGAATTCTTGGAACATGAGAGTAAATTAATGTAGGTTCTTGAAATGTTGTGATGGAGGGTTTTCAATTGTGTTGTATAAGTCTAGTACTTAAATAAAGATAAGTTTTGTTGCCAAAATTTTTCTTTCTTTTCGGTATATTAAATTAAATGCCATGGTACCTTAAATATTAATTTTATTCAATTAGGTCGATTATTTTTTATTCCTTGCCGGACAAGATTAATTTGCCTAATGCCTACACCTGATGTAGGCATGGCCATTGGATCATTTTGAATCAGAACTAAATTGTAATGTAGATGAGACCGGAACAGGATCGGAATCGTCGGTTTAAAATTTTGAACCGGAACAGGACTGGAACCGTTGGTTCAAAATTTTGAACCAGAATTGACAGTTTAAGGGTCGATTAAGATTCATATGAATGTTAAAATCTAAACCTAAATTGGCCCAAAACCAGCAATCTCAGTCTGTTTGAATAAAAAATTTTCTATTTTTATTTTCAAAGTGATAATCACTTAGCCGATTCTATACACCTTTAAAAATCTTAATAATTTTTTACTACATTATACACTTTACTTAAGATTTTTTCTTTTGGAAAATACAGTTTACTTTAAAAGTTAAAAATCTAAAAGTAAAATGGTAAAAAAAGAAATATTTAGTTTAAATTTATTTTTTTTTAATTTCCGAAGCAATGAACCTATTTGAAATGGCTGATTTTTTTCCTTTTAAATTATTCAGTAAGTTCAAAATTACATTCTTTGAAGCATTTTTCAAAATTTTCTAATAATTTATTTAATTAATAGCATTTACACAAAATAATGTGATAATTTATTTGATTATCTATAAAATTAATTAATTTTATTCCTATATGAGTATGAGTATTCTAAAATTTATTTAAAATAAAATTTACCTATATTTTCTAAACTCATATTACTATTTTCGAAAAAAATATGTAATATTAGAATCGATTTTTTTAAAAAAAATATATATATATCGCTGAAAACCGTGATCGGAACCGCATTGAAATCGGATCAAAACCGGATGTTCAAGAACTGGTTCAGGTTCAACATTTTAAAAAATTTTGAACTGTCAGTTTGATGAACCTGAACCAGCTATTCAATGAACCGAAACCGACGGTTCAATGAACCGGTCATGCCTTACCTAGTGTGTGTATGCGTGTTCTCGTACACCAAGTGAAAGTAAATATGGTTTTTTTTAAAAAAATATTACTAATTTTTTTTATTTCTTAGTATATAATCAAAAACACTTTCAATCGTTTGTGATTGGTTTTGTGTATAGGCGAACCAAAACATCGTTTGTGATTGATTTTGTGTATAGGCAGACCGTGTAGGAAAGCCTTTCTCATTTTGTTACCACTATATGCTCCCTAAAAATGTTTTACAAGAAAAAGATATAATTTATTAATTATAATATTAAACATTACAAATACTTACATAGATCAGACATAGAACTTTACTGTCAGAAGTTAATAGAGTTGGTTGATTTTATAACAAATCAAAAGAATTATATATATTCTTTTGAATAATAATACTAAAAATAAAAGAAATAATATTAAATCCTTCCACTTGAAGATGGTTTTAACAAAAGATGTTGATCTTCATAGTAGCAACTAGTTCATTAATTAATTTGAACGATAAAATAATAACTCATCTAGATCTTTTATACCTAAATTGTTTTTCCAAGAAGTTCTTCATTATGCATCAATAGCATCAATAGAGGAACAAGTTACACTACGTACTAGGCTACATTGGTCGAATATTTACATCTGCAAATTAATATTTAAAGTCTCCAAAAGATAAAATCAAAGATTATATTTTTATTTCTTAATAAACCTTTACAAACGAGGGACAAAAAAACTCCAAATATAGAGACAAAACAACAATAACAACAATAAAGAAATATTATATCAAAAATAGATCTGAGTTTTTAGAAATATTATATAAATAATATATCCGAGTTTATTAAAAGTGCAAAGAGATTAGATGAAACAAAAAATAGAAATTTTAGAAATTGGAATTACTCATGAAGAGAAAATTAAAATTTAACCAAAAAAAAAAAAGAAAAAAAAAAGGAATTGGACTTAATTATACTAAATAAAATCTTAATTTTTAAAATCATACCATTATCCTTTAATTTTTATTTTCAAAATTTTAAATTCCACATATTGATAAAACTGTAAAATTATTTTTATATTTCAGTTGCATAATTTTTTGCTTTTATTACTATTTATTTTATTGCTTTCACCGGCGATATCAGGGTTTCGAAATGGGTTCACACGAATTACTTTCATTGTTTATATCAGAATGTCAAAACGGGTTAGCAGAAACAAAGGCCAGAAGTTACAAGCTGCATGACATGCTGAAGAAAAGTCGCCATGAAAATTTACCGAGCAATAAGCGCTGAATAAACCAAAAGCCGGTGGGATGATGGACCGGCGCAAATCAATCTTGGTTTACATGCCAGTTTATGGTGAAAGTAAAAGAACGCCCGCTGATGGAGTTTGAAGGCTTGACTGCTTGTCATTGGATGTGAGATTTAATGACCATAGTGATATTTTGAAGGGTGAGGATGCTGAATAGTTAAATAAAATAAATATATAGTTAAAATGAGAATTTATGTTTGTGGTTTAGCAAATAAACATTAATTTTAATTAGTTTTAGGAAATAAATAAGATAATTTTTATTTAGTTAGAATAGGTAAGGATGTTTGTTGTTTAAAAAACCTAGGATTAGTTAAAAATTAAAGGTAAAATATCATAAATCCTAAGTTATTTAGTAGTTGAGGTAAATTGGATTTTTGAATTTTTAAAATTTACTTGAGTTTAAAAATGGGCTTTTTAAAATATCATGTGGGGGCAATTGTTACCATATTTTAATTTGTGTTTTATGGGCTTGACTCGTGGATTTATAATTTTTTTTAGGCTTAAATTAATTAATTAGTCTTTAAAATATCAAAAGGCTTATAGTTAATTAATTAATTAATTAATTATTGGCTAAATAGATATCTTAGGAGTTTCCTTTAAAAAAAAAAAAAATTTAACAATGAATATAAGTTGAGTATATTATTATATTCCTATAGGACTAAGAAATACAAATATAAAAAATTGAAATCTTATATTTGAAGATGTCCTTAATCTTAACAGAAGAGGTTAATCTTAAAAATTGGTCCATTTTCAAATAGGACGATAAAAGAAACTTTCCACAATATTATGCCGAATATTATTTTTTCGGAAACTTATTACAATTGATAACCACAAAAGAGTTTAATATACTAAACTTTAGTGGAGGAATGTGCCACACTACCAGTAGCGGTCAAATGGAATGAGGATTGTCAGTTGGCCGATACTTGTGGTCCGATTTTCAAACTACTTAGGAAAGGAGTAGCGGTCAAATGGAATGAGGATTGTCAGGCGGCTTTCGACCAAGTCAAGCAATACCTGCTATCCCTGCCTGTCTTACAACCACCAAGGCTAGGAAAGCCTTTGCTACTGTACCTGTCTGTGACAGAAGAAGCCAATGGGTGCCCATATTAGCCCAACCAAGCAAGAAGATACAAGGATAGAAAATGCCGTGTATTATCTTAGCCAAGAGGATGCTGGAATATGAGTGGAATACAAACAAGATAGAGAAAGTTGTGTCTGGCTCTATCTGGGCCTGCTACCAAGCTTGCAACACTAAACTCTCGTCTTACACTACACACGTAATCTCTGAATCGAACCCTCGAACCCCTTGAAATTCCTTATGGAGAGGCCGGTTCTAGACTGTAAGATGGCTAAGTGGGTGTCAGTGCTCGCAGCCTATGACCTGAAATTTGTACAACGTAAGGCAGTAAAAGGCGGAGCTTTGGCTGACCAGTTAGCCGAATTACCGGTCGAAGATCAAATGCCGAAGGTAGAATTCCCCGACGAAAACCTGTTGCACCTGGAAAATCAGGTCTGGGAGATGTACTTCGATGGAGCCTCGAATTACCATGGAAATGGGATTGGAGTTGTATTCAAAACTCCTTGTGGAGAATACGTCCCAATTGCAGTTAAACTAGACTTTGACTGTACCAATAATGAGGCCGAATACGAAGCCTGTATCAAGGGTTAGAAGCAGCCTTTTGGAAAGAAAATAAAAGTCGGCTCAGGGTTTCGGAGATTCCAACCTTGATTTAGTCTCCCAGGGCTCTAAGAAGTGGAAAATCAAGGAAAGAGGCGTTTGGTTCCTTTACCTACAACGCTTAGACGAATTGGCTCAACAATTTTGAGAATTTATCTTTCCACTTACCTGCCGGGCGAAAAAAGCCAAAAATCAATTCGCTTGATGCCCTGGCCACCTTTGGCCTCCATGGTTAATGTGGAAAGAGACCAAGTTATTCGGCCCCTGACAGTTAGGCTTCAGAAATAGCCAGCACCACATCATGCATTGGTTAGATGACAAGCCTTGGTTTTGGGATATACAGAATTACCTTCAGAACGAAGCTACCCGGAGGGATCCACCAAAACTGCTTCAACGGACATTAAGACCAAAGTTAGCGTCTGCGATAGTCCTTACAGGGGAATTCTGTATTAAAAGGAAGTTGGAACGGCTTGCATCTAAGGGATGCGTTGGTGGAAGGGAGGCTCAAACCTTATTGGATTCCGTGCATAATGGGGAATCTGGGTCACACATGCATGGCGGATAGCCATTGGCTCGGAAAATCATGAACCCTCAAATAGGTTATTACTTGGTCTATTACTGGTCAACTATGAATTCGGATTGTGTGAGGCATGCGCGTAAGTGCCATGAGTGCCAAATTTTTGCTAAGCTGCAAAAACGGCCTCCGATCCATTTGAATCCAATTGCTTCACCGTGGCCTTTTGCAACTTGGGGCATAGATGTAGTTGGAAAGATCCACCCGAAAGCCTCTAATGGCCACCAGTTTATCCTGGTCGCTGTAGATTATTTCACTAAATGGATTGAGGCAGTTTCCTTTTCAATGTTAAACGCCAAGAAGGCAACACAGTTTGTACGTACCAGCA